ACAATCGCTCGTAGGCAGGTAGAAGGAGTAAAACTGAGTCGAAAAGTCTTGAACCATTTTTTTCTATTATTTATAATAAAGGAGTAATTATTGAGTAAATCAGGCCAATCAGCGCAGACCTTTAGCCAGACGCACGTCAGTGAGCCGCGCGCCTGGTGTGTGTGAGCGCTCACTGATGTGTGCCTGGCTAAAGGTCTGCACTGATTGGCCTGATTTACTCAATAATTACTCCTTTATTATAAATAATTAAAAAAAATGGTTCAGGACTTTTCGACTCAGTTTTACTCCTTCTACCTGCCTACGAGAGATTGTACGGCAATTCTGGGACACCCTGTATATGTGCGTGTATACACATACAGGGTGTCTGACAACGAACTATAAAGCCGACGTGTGTAGGTAGATCGAGTTATTCTGAACAGAAAAGTTATTTACTATTTTGAAAAAATCGCAATAGTTATTGAAATATGAATGAATAAATGTAAGCCAATGAGAGCGCGGGGAGCGATGATCGGACTCTATAGGCGTGCACAATTATCAGCTCTACTTCTCGCTCGCCGCTGCTCGCTATTCGTACCGCCGAATAGCGCTTGATCGCAAGAAACTGAATCGTTCCGCGCTTGTTTGTTTACTCCGCCTCTCGTGACTAAGACATTACATGAGAGAAGCTATTTTTCTTTTTATCTGATAATCGTGCATGTCTATAGAGTCCGATCATCGCTCTCCGCGCCTTTATTGGTTCACATTTATTAATTCATATTTCAATAAATATTGCGAATTTTGCAAAAAATATAACTTTTTTGTTCAGAATGATCCGATCTACCTATACACGTCGGCTTTATAGTTCGTTGTCAGACACCCTGTATATAATAGAATTCACGTTTTTTACGTGAGTTTTTCGAATTATAATCACAATTCTAATAATTATATAGGATGCTCAATTTGCATTTCGTATATGAAGAACCCCGAATATCCCCCCAAATTAATTTAAAATATTGCAAAAAAACCTCAGTTTTAATTGTTAAAATTTTCACGCTGTCACACGAAGCGTTATTACAGTATCCAAAACATCTTCAAGAGATGTACATTGTATTGCGAGACAAGCTCCAAGTGCCTCGGTAGCCTAACAGGGAAGGCGACGGCCCGGAAAGCCGGAGATTCCAGGTTCGACTCCTGGCTGAGGAGTTTTTTTCGCAATATTTTAAATTAATTTGGGGGGATATTCGGAGTTCTTCATATACGAGATGCAAATTGAGCATTCTATATGATTATTAGAGTTGTGATTACAATTAAAAAAACTCACGTGAAAAACGTGAATTCTATTATATATGTGTAAACACGCACATATACATATATACAGACATATTTCCCGCATAACATCCAGCGAACGGCTCTTAACGACTTATCATTCATTTATTAGTTTTAAGACTTCACAGAGCCCGAAATGAATCTCAGTTTTAATTGTTAAAATTATCATATCTAATTATGTAAATTTATATGCCGAATATGTCCATACAATTTTATACACGGAGAATTTTTTTTTTAAGAGAATGACTTCAGAGATATTTCATATCAAGTTACAAAATAACTCTATTAGTATCATATTAGATACAAAAAAATTATATAAAACTATTTTTCGTTATTTTTGTATCATATTAGATACAAAAAAATTATATAAAACTGTTTTTCGTTATTCAAAGATCACTTCAAAATCACATTGTGATCGACGAACAAATATAAATTTGCATAACTAGATATAATAATTTTAATTTATGTATAAGTATATATGATCATATATATCAAAATTTTTTGATATATAATATAATTATATATACTTATACATAAATTTTGACGGTGGCCTAACAGAGAAAGCGACGGCCCAGAAAGCTGGAGATTCCAGGTTCGACTTCTGGCTGAGGAGTTTTTTTCGCAATATTTTAAATTAGTTCAAGGAGATATTCGGGGTCCTTCATATACGTGATTCAAATCTAGCATCCTATATGATTTGAAGAATTGAAATCTTAATTCAAAAACCTCACTTGTACAAATTTACTTGTGAACACGTATATACATATATTCAAGAGGCACGGTAGTGCTTCGCATCAAGTTCACGCGCAACGAAGTGGCGCTCGGACTGCGGGAGCACTGTGTGCCTTATATACAAGGTGTCTGACAACGAACTATAAAGCCGACGTGTGTAGGTAGATCGGGTCATTCTGAACAGAAAAGTTATATACCATTTTGCAAAAGTCGCAATATTTATTGAGATATGAATTAATAAGTGTGAGCCAATGACAGCGTGGGGAGCGATGATCGGATTCTATAGGCGTGCACGATTATCACATGAAAAGAAAAATGTTCTCTCAAGTAATGTCTTAATAACGAGAGGCGGAGTAAACAAACAAACGCGGCACGACTCAGTTTCTTGCGATCAGGCGCTATTCGGCGGTACGTAGCGAGCAGCGGCGAGCGAGGAGTAGATCTGATAATTGTGTACGCTTATAGAGTCCGATCATCGCTCCCCGCGCTCTCATTGGCTCACATTTATTAATTCATATTTCAATAACTATTGCGATTTTTTCAAAATAGTAAATAACTTTTCTGTTCAGAATAACTCGATCTACCTACACACGTCG